GACTCTATCAAATATTCTGTACTCTGCCCTTGGGTTTTTACATCCAAGATGCATTATCTTGCACTTATCCACATTAGCCTTTCTTGGAGGCGGTACGGCGTAACCCTGACATATCCAACTATCAATGGAGGGGCATGATCCATTAAGTCCGCATATTCCAAAATATGCTCTTTTTCATCAGCCAACCTAGGTTAACGCTACCTTGTCTCATGAGACAATTCAAAAAGTATAGCCACCTATCAGGACTAATAGCCGAGGCAAGATATTCATCTTCACTATCGCCACTCGACCCAGCCATGATTGATGTGGGTAATTCTAAGTCATCAGATCCTGTCTTATGCGCATCAGAAGTGTCAGGAAGTTCATTTTATAAAGAGCAGATGGGTCTGATGTGATCCACATGCCTAGATATTTCAGTTGTGCCTCTCACCATTTGAATGGAAAGCTGTCACGGAGGGCAGTGTCATCAGCGAGTTGCACCATTATATTCAGTATTTTGCATTTAGAGAGGTTCAAGTCCTGATAGGTGGTTATACTTCTCGAATTCCCTCCTGAGACAAGGTAGCGTTAGCCTAGGTTGGGTGACGAAAAAGAGCATATCGTCGGCATATGCTGCCAATTTATGAGTCGTACCCCTACATTGATAGCCGGATATTATTATTATTGCCATTTATATAGCGCCAACAGATTCCGTAGCGCTTTACAATATTATGAGAGGGAGGATGTAACTATAAATAGGACAATTACAAGAAAACTTACAGGAACAATAGGTTGAAGAGGGCCCTGCTCAAACGAGCTTACAGACTATAGGAGGTGGGATATTAGAAACGTTAGGACAGGATATGTCAGGGTTCCGCCATACCACCTCCAAGAAAGGCACCAAGGACAAAGCAAAGAGCAGAGGGGAGAGGGGACATCCCTGCCTAGCGTCATTTCGGATGAGGATGGTCAGGGCCCCATTTACCCGAACTCTTGCATTCGGTTTGCTAGTTGAGGAAATAGCTAAAATGACAATGAAGGGGGAAGTTATCATCATGGGTGACTTTAATCTTCCTGATGTAAATTGGAAAACAAAATTAGCTACTTGTGCCAGGAGCACACATATTCTAAACTCCCTACTGGGATTGTCTCTAAAACAAGTTGTTGAGGAGCCAACTCGTAAAGAGGCCATACTAGATTTAGTGTTAACAAATGGAGATTTGGTATCAGATGTTACTGTAGGTGAAAGTTTAGGATCCAGTGATCATCAGTCAGTGTGGTTTAATATAAGAACAGTGACTGAGTCACACCACACAAAAACAAAAGTTTTAGACTTTAGAAAAACAGACTTTTCTAAAATTAGAATATGGGTAGAGGAGTCATTATCAGACTGGAGCAATTTAAATGGAGTCCAAGAAAAATGGGATTATTTAAAAGTTGCACTATTGAAGGCAACAGAAAATTGCATTAGGCTTGTTAGTAAAAGCAAAAAATTCAAGAAACCACTGTGGTACTCCGCAGATGTGGCCAAAATAGTTAAAAACAAAAAGTTAGCATTTAGGAATTATAAAAAAAACAGAGTGAGGGAGACAAAATGATCTATAAGATTAGGCAGAAAGAGGCTAAGCAAGTTATAAGAGCTTCCAAATCACACACAGAAGAGAAAATAGCACAGTCAGTAAAAAAGGGGGATAAAACATTTTTAGATACATAAATGAGAAAAGAAAAGTAAAACAAGGATTAGTTAGATTAAAAACAAAAGAAGGAAGGTATGTAGAAGAGGATAAAGGTCAGGCTGACTGCCTCAATGAATATTTTTGTTCTGTATTTACAGAAGAAAATGAAGGAAAGGGACCTCAGTTGAGAAAAAGGATAAATGAGTCATTTATTACACGTGAGTTTACAGAGGAAGAGGTTCTATTTCAACTGTCAAAAGTAAAGACAAATAAGTCAATGGGACCTGATGGAATACACCCAAAGCTATTAAAAGAGCTTAGTGGTGTACTAGCAAAACCATTAACAGATTTATTTAACCAATCATTGTTAACAGGAGTAGTCCCAGAAGATTGGAAGTTAGCGAATGTTGTGCCCATTTACAAGAAAGGTAATAGGGAGGAGTCGGGCAACTATAGGCCAGTAAGCCTTACTTCAGTAGTGGGGAAAGTGATGGAAACCATGTTAAAGGATAGGATTGATGAACATCTAAAAACACATGGATTTCAAGATCAGAGACAACATGGGTTTACTTCAGGGAGATCATGCCAAACTAATCTTATTGATTTTTTTGATTGGGTAACTAAAATTATAGATCAGGGTGGTGCAGTAGACATTGCTTACCTAGATTTCAGTAAGGCTTTTGACACTGTTGCACATAGAAGGCTTATCAATAAACTGCAATCTTTAAGTTTGGATTCAAATATTGTTGAATGGGTAAGGCAGTGGCTGAGTGACAGGCAACAGAGGGTTGTAGTTAATGGAATATATTCGAAGCTTGGACTTGTCACCAGTGGGGTACCTCAGGGATCTGTACTTGGACCCATTCTCTTTAATATTTTTATTAGTGATATTGCAGAAGGTCTTGATGGTAAGGTATGTCTTTTTGCTGATGATACTAAGATATGTAACAGGGTTGATGTTCCAGGAGGGATAAGCCAAATGACAAATGATTTAGGTAAACTAGAAAAATGGTCAGAATTGTGGCAACTGACATTTAATGTGGATAAGTGCAAGATAATGCATCTTGGACGTAAAAACCCAAGGGCAGAGTACAGAATATTTGATAGAGTCCTAACCTCAACATATGAGGAAAGGGATTTAGGGGTGATTATTTCTGATGACTTAAAGGTAGGCAGACAATGTAATAGAGCAGCAGGAAATGCTAGCAGAATGCTTGGTTGTATAGGGAGAGGTATTAGCAGTAGAAAGAGGGAAGTGCTCATGCCATTGTACAGAACACTGGTGAGACCTCACTTGGAGTATTGTACACAGTACTGGAGACCGTATCTTCAGAAGGATATTGATACCTTAGAGAGGGTTCAGAGAAGGGCTACTAAACTGGTTCATGGATTGCGGGATAAAACTTACCAGGAAAGGTTAAAGGATCTTAACATGTATAGCTTGGAGGAAAGACGAGACAGGGGGGATATGATAGAAACATTTAAATATATAAAGGGAATCAACACAGTAAAGGAGGAGACTATATTTAAAAGAAGAAAAACTACCACAACAAGAGGACATAGTCTTAAATTAGAGGGACAAAGGTTTAAAAATAATATCAGGAAGTATTACTTTACTGAGAGGGTAGTGGATGCATGGAATAGCCTTCCAGCTGAAGTGGTAGAGGTTAACACAGTAAAGGAGTTTAAGCATGCATGGGATAGGCATAAGGCTATCCTAACTATAAGATAAGGCTAGGGACTAATGAAAGTTTTTAGAAAATTGGGCAGACTAGATGGGCCGAATGGTTCTTATCTGCCGTCACATTCTATGTTTCTATGTTTCTATGGCTTGTACACAGGTTAGCATCTTTGGGCCAAATCCCACTCTGCTCATTATGGCCATGAGGAAGGTCCAGTCCACCCGATCAAATGCCTTATCAGCATCGGTTGTCAGCAAGAGCGCCGGGACGCCTCCTTTCCTTGCATGATGCTGGATCAACAGGGCCCTTATATTACTGTCTCTTGCCTCTCTTCCATGTATAAAGCATGTATGATCTGGGTGTTCTAGTCCGATAGCAGTGGTCGCATTCTGGTAGCGAATACTTTGGTGAGGAGTTTCATATCTACATTCAGTAGAGAGATCGGTCTGTAACTACTACATAGCTCTGGATCCTTGCCTGGTTTTGGTAAGACAGCGATGACGGTGGACAGTGTTTCCAAATGGAAAGCGTTTCCTGTTTTAAGTGCGTTGAGTGCCTTCGTAAGCTTTGGGAGTAGTAGGTCGGCGAATATTTTATAGTAATCCAGAGTGAACCCATCTGGTCCTGGCGCCCGTTCTCTCCTAGTGGTTTTGATTGCTGATTTGAGTTTATCTTCCGTGATCTGTGCTTCAAGCAGTGCAGAGGCAGTAGCTGATATGGTCTTGGGGATGCATGTGGCGAGGTATCGTGACGTGTCAGTCACAGCTTCCCTTTCCTCTGTCAATCCGACATGGCTGCAGTGCAGGAAGTTTTATAGGCTGAGTAGAACTGTTTGAATTTGTTGGCGATCACTTCTGGGAGTTGAGTAGTCCCTCCCAAGGGTACTGTCAGGATTACAAGTTGATCCAGTATGCAGTACTGTGTCACACCTAGAACTAAGGATAACGTATAACTGGACCTTAGAATGGCCGGACTTAACGTCTCCAAGCATAGTCAAAATACTTGCCGAGATCAGGGACACAGAATCAGACACAAGGATGAGGGAAAGCCAAAAGTCAAAGATACCAGATATCAGGGAAGTCGAAACAAAGCCAAAATCAAATATTAGAAAATCAAGATCAGGAACGCACTCTCGGATAACCATATGCATGAAACCACGACAGGGCACTAAGCAAGCGGAGAACTGGGCCTAAATACCCCTCGTGGATCTGATTGGCTGTAACCGGCCTTTGACCCCAAAGGCAATTACCAGGTATCCATTTGCATGATTGCTGCTCAGCACAAACCCTCCTGTGGATTTGATTGTCAGGACAGTAACGTTGCTCGGCACAACTTTTCATTTCAGGACAGTAATGTTGCTCGGCACAACTTTTCCTGTCAGGACAGTAAATGCCATTAACCACATTTTTATGTGTGGATGAATACCTGACAGGTACCTTTCGTTTAAGGACTTGCGTCTGGACTTGTTTACCCAGGAGCATTTTCCTCCTTTGTTTGCATGGGTATAGAAAAATCCTCCGACCGTTGCAGGTTTCTGTAATTAAAACGAGTTATCAAGGCATGCAGTTGTCATTGTGATTCCATCAATTCCTCATAATTCTTTTCCACCTGGGATTTGTTATGTCTGGATTCAACTTCTGTAATTTTAAGAAGTAGATCTGACATGTTATGCCGGGCCTCGCGTTTCTTCCGTGTTGCGATTCGTATGACATGGCCCCTGAGTTCACTTTTGTGAGCCTCCCAGATTGTGGTATCTGTAAGTTCTTCTGATGTATTATCAGTGAAGTATAAGGACAGTGCTTGGTGAAGTTTTTCCCTAACCTCATCTTCGCGTGTCGCGAGTTTGGTGAGTCGATCTCTATGGACATGGGACTGTGATCCGACCAAGTGATATTGCCTATGGAGGCTTTTTTCAGGCTTGAGAGGCTTTCCTGTTGTAGGAATAAGAAGTCTATTCTGGAATATTGTTTGGTGACCACTGTGTTTTAATTGCACAGTTCAGTCGAATGCCCTATAGAGATGTCTTGGAGTCATGATATGATGCCACTCTAGCTCCAGCATCGCTACAAGATATAGATGGAAGCTGAGCAGGACATAGTCAAGACAAGGCAACCTAAAATTCCAGTATTTATGCCAAAATAGCCTAAGAATTCTCCAACTGAGATATAGTGACAGGTTGATGATTTCTTGATGATTTAGGTTTTGCAATTCCTATTTTCATTCACAAAAACAATAATCACAAAAACGTATTTTGTTTCCCAGTCCTTCTTGACCGGATTTCAAACTCCACTCCTTTAGCATATCCAATGAAGAGTGCACACATAGGATTTAAAAAGAAACAAAACAACATCTTAATTTTGATTGGGGACACTTCCCCAAAAACCTCTCTGTGATGCTGCCATGCTGGCATTGCCATGTAACTCCATTCCTATACTCCCTAGCCTGTGCTAGCAGCATTGGCTAAGGAGTTACCATTCCAACCACAGTGCAAATGCTGTGGTTGTTACATACGAAGAGCAGAAGGACCACCTGTTGGAGGTCTTTTCTGCTTTCTATTGTCAGTCATTTCATGTGAATAGAGACTAATAGAGACTACGTCAAAGACAGGCTGGAGGAAGACCTTCTGTAACAATACTTTTTTTCCTCCTGTTTTATACATTTGCAAGCACAATCTATTGGTAGAATTTTATGCTCTTAAAAAATAGCATATGAAGTTATGGGCACAACAATCATATACTATAATTAGTTTTGATGCTCTATAGATTATTTTTTTTTGTTTTATTTTTTTACAGGTGACATTAAATAATTCTTCTCAGCGCAATAATATGGGGTGGAATATTCAATAAGTTTATATAAGGGCACAGAATATATTTTAAAGGTGGTTCACTATTTAGTGAGCCTTGGTGAATTAAATACCAAATTTGTTTAATTTAGACCGAAATTGTCAGGCTAGAAATATACGTTGCAGTGTTTAGGCCAAGATAACTTAAAAAACAAAAGGAATAATAAACAATAGAAAAAATAACCTAGGCAAGCTTTTAATTTAGCATAATTAGCTATTTAGTGAAGTAAAAAAACAGTCCGGTATTATAAACAAAAATGCATTTATTTATAATGCTGGAGTGTTTTCTGACTCCCTTAGGTTACTGGTCCTCCCAAAACTCAAAAAATGCTCTTTTTAAACCACTAATCTAACCACGAGAGTGTCTCCTTGCTCTAGTCCATTAATCTCCAGGAGATCATCATTACTGATGATCGTACAGCCAACCCAATGCTTCTGATACAAAAAAACATTGGGATGCATGCAGAGTGCATGCGCGGCAATCGTTGTGCTGTGCTCATTATAAATCTCACAGAGTAGCATTGAAGTCAGTGTTTCTATATGAGAAGTATCACTTTTACTTTGTGATAGGGCACAAAGGAAGTGAGAAAGAGCCCCCATCCAGACAGATTGTGTTGAAATCAGCACTTTTATAAAGTGTGAAAAAGGAGCACTGTGTTAACCACTTAGGTACTCCAGCAAGCTTTAGGGGTCTGGAGTTCTCTGTGTTTCAGTTTTCATCTAACTAAACAAATATGCTATTATATACAATGTATGACTGCTATAAAATTGCTAGCAGTTGCTATGGTTAGTGTCTTTTGTTATGATAATGAATTCTATTATTAAATTGTATAGCAAATGGTAAGAGGCAAAGCATGTCGCTGTTATATTGTATGAACCGTTTTTGTTTTTTTTAGTCTTTTCAGTCAATCAACACACAGGCAATATTCTGCAGTCCATAGATTGCAAACATTGTAGCCAAAAAAAATCTATTTTAAAACTATTTCTATACAAATGAAATTACAAAATATATATGATGGCCTATAGTTTAGCGTTTTCACTGTTAAGTATATGGACAATATAAGTATAAGTTAAGCATTTGGAAAATATAGATTCTATAGACAGAATTTTATCAAGATTTCAATCCTTATCCTCTAGATTGTAAGCTTGTTGAGCATTGTCAGTAGGAATTTTGTATAGTCTTGTATAATATTTGTATAGTGTCAGTATATGTAAATGTTAGTGCAGAATTGTGTGTGTGTGTGTTTGAGTGTGTGTGTGTGTTTCAACTGACGTAGTTCGATGTAGTCCAAATCTGTAGAATGTAGAGATTTATGTTTAGTGTCAGTGTATATGAAAATGTGTTTAGTGTCAGTGTAAATGAAGGGAGATATTTGTGTACTGCATTGTGTGAATGCAGGGGCATATAGCTGTGTCACAAGCATGTGTAATTGTGAATGTATTTTTTCTTTTCTTTTGGTAGGTCGCACAAGCTCACAATATAACAACTTCAAATTGTAATGCAGGTAGCTTGTAAAAATAGTCTTTACTGCAACAATCACTAACCAGTTCTCACTTAATTCCTGAATGAGTATTAGAGGTATCGGCTGAGAGCTGCATAAAATTGTTCATGTTCAAAAAACTGTACTAAACCAGCAAGCCACTGTGACTGGACACCGATAAAAGTGAACCACTGGACACCGATAAAAGTGGTTATTATTTTCAAACAATGCTTTCTAACAAACATTTTCCTGAAAAACATTCTGGAATGTAAAATTTTAAAACGTATCATGAAAGTTCCTTAAGTGCTTGTTCACTAACCAATCCTTAAACTTGGTTATTTAAGACAGCACCTATAAAGTACATACCAAGCGCAGATCAATAAGAGATTAAATGAGTTAATCAACGTTGTGGTCAATGATGGTATTTCTAATATTGACTTATAATGATTAATCTTTGCAAAAGAGCTCCTGGTTCTGTACAACACACCTCTGACAACATATTTTCAAGGTATGAGCTAATTATTTGTGACAGGTGTGTAGCATCATTTTTATTGTGTTTGAAATGAATTATGAACATAATGTGTACATTTCCTGTGACTCTACATCTGTGTTTCTATCTGACAAATATTTCACATGCCATCTTGTTAACCATTTCAATACTGAACTCTTTAAAGTGGACTTGCCATTCATATCTATCTATCTATCTATCTATCTGTCTGTCTGTCTGTCTGTCCGTCCATCCGTCTGTCCGTCTATCTGTCAGAATTACTAGTAGATCCAGCACGCAGAATTATACCACACCTAGGACTAAAGGTAACGTCTTACTAGGCTTTAGAATGGCCAGACTTAACGTACCAGAGAATAGTCAGAATATTTGCCGAGGTCAGGGACACAGAAGGAGACACAACGATGAGGGAAAGCCAAAAGCCAAGGATACCAGAATTCAGGGAAGTCAAACGAAGCCAAAGTCAATAACCAGAAATAAACGCTCAGGAACACATTCTCGGATCACCAACTAAGGGAAACCACAACAGGGCACTGACAGAAAGGTAATTTGGGTTTAAATACTGCTCTTTTTTATGTAATTGGCTGTCTCCGACCTATGACCCCAAAAAGTGCGTGCGCGTCTATGACGTGACGTCGCACGCATGTTAGCGCCATCTTTGGTGTGGGCAAAGGTAAGTTTGTTCTAAAAATCTGAACTGCAGCGGTCGTCGCTCCTAAGAGGGTCGCACCCGCTGGGGACCGGCCTGGAGGGAGGTCGGGCAGTGATCTGCCGCGAACAAGGTAAGTGAAATTTGTTTCTGTCGGCGTGGTTGCTTACTTTTTGTGCAACAACGCCGGCAGAATCGCCGGGAGACGTGACAGTCTATCATCTATCTGTCTGTTCCTTGTATATAGCTATATAGCTGTACATTTCCTTTAGATTGTCAGCCCACAGGCTATCTAACTAACTAAGCACTTTGTATAAAAGAGCTTAAATTTCTAGATCTCAGCTCACAGCTCTCTTCACCTTTTGTATCGGTTTATGTATATTGTTGATGTTTTGTGTTTTTTTCCCCTTCCCTAATTGTACAGCGCTGCAGAATATGTTGGCGATTTATAAATGCCAGCAATAATAAAAGTAATAATCTACTGCCACGTCCCTAACTGGTCCCCCACGGAAGTTGGAAACAAGGGGTGCGCTGCGTTTTTTTGCATTTTTTTGTCAAAATCATATATCTAGAAATTCATCACGGTTTATCTGGTGCATTCTGGCAGGTTTGCTGCCAGGAGTATACCTTAAATAAATTCCCACGGTATAATGAATGATGTCTTTTATTTTATTAAATAGGAGTGTGAGGCAGTAAGGTCAGTGTCGCTAGGCATCACATGCAATACAATGTACATTAAACTGCAGGGAGTTCAAATTGATGTCTCAGGATCTGTCAGCTTTTCCACAAATGATATGACTGGCAAAACAAAAACATAACAGCATGAATTTGAATGTGGACTCCTGCAGATAATTACTGACCATTGATGTCAGTGGATCAATTCTATTCAAGGCTGAACTACTGCTGTTTTTGGACCAAAACTTGCATCACTGTAAACCAGCTGGGTGTAATGGGAGTAACACTCAAACAGCAGATCTGTTGATAATAAACTCTGGCTAGTCTGAGGTGGAATTTGAAATCATTTAGAAAATTGGACAGACTAGATGGGCTGTATGGTTCTTATCTGCCGTCACATTCCATGTTTCTATATTGGATTGTGCAATTATCAACTTTCTTCAACTCTTAAGAGTTTATCGTATTCTCAAATGCAAGTTTGTATAAAATGAAAGGTAGGAGTGTTCTGGTGCCAGATTCCCCCATGTCAGCAGTCATACTGATTGTAATGGTTTGACTTATTACCTGTGGTCTACCGGGCCTTGCTTCATGCTTCTGGCTCTCAACTCCAGAAGGGGAGAGACCGGAAGAAGGTCAACCCCGAAAAATAGAATAATAACCAAAAAAAGTTACCTGCACACTATCCCAAATCCCTATGGATATTTAAATAACTGGATTTTT